CTTCATTTTCTCTTCTTCTCTCTCTGCCAACTCCCATACCAGCTAGAATAACAAGGACATACAGAAATACAGTATGTTTTCTTTTTCCCGTGCCTAGCGTGTCACTCTTTAAAAATTAAACACTCTCTCTGAATTCTCTTGCGAGATTGCTCCTCACAATTAAAAAAAAAGTCTCTCTCACACACAAAAATAAAACCAATGAGCAAAGCTTCCTTGTAAATGTTCAGCATTCTTCTACCAGCAACACCTTAATAATTAGAAAAGCATCCCTGAAGGCCACTGAATAGATCCCTGAACTCCTGAATAAAATAAAAGCTCTGCTGTTTTCTTCCACAGCAGAGTGTAGCAGTCTCCTTCCCAACAGAGGAAAAACTGGGGAGAAAAGCTCAGAAGACATTCTCACGGCACCTTATTTGCAGCACCCTAATATTGTGTTTCTTGTAATTTGGTGAAAAAAAATAGTTGATTTGCAGATGTCCAATTCTAATTTATTTTCCTCAAAGGAGGAAGAAATGAGGGTAGGAGGCCTCTAGGAAGGGGAAGCCACTCTTATTTCCACCCTCAACATAACCCCTAAATCTACACACACACACACACACACAACCCCATCTCAGATCTTTTTGCTATTTTTTTTTTAAATTTCAGTCACATAATAAGGAAGAAAACAGATTGGAAGATTTAAGAGCTGAAATTGAGAGTGGTTTGTCTCTCAAAGTTTCCCACTCTCACGGACGCTCTGATCAATTTGAAAACCCTAGCAAAAAATCTGCCCCACCCCTCCACTTTCAACATCGCTGTTTCTGTAATAGCACCTCAACACTTTCATTGGTTGGGCAAAAAAACTATACACACGTGTAAACGTGCACATAAACACACACCCGGGAAGCTTCCCAACCTTCTCCTCCAGAAATCCAGTCTGAAAAAAGTATAGCATCCCTCCATTACTTAGCCTAGAACAAACCACTAATTTAATCCCAAAGCAGCAAAGAAATAGCGGACTGGCCTAGGATAAAAGGATTGTGGTGACCTTCCGAGTCCCTAAATAGTAAAAATCATCAGCCAGAAAGGGAAGGACCACTCATGCTTCCAATAGCAAGGATAGGTAGTCTTCGAGTAACAATCATTCCTTTAATGGCTGTTTAAAGTTACCACACTGAAAAAGTGACCTATAGCCGTTTTTCACACTTACAACCATTGCAGCATCCCCGTGATCATGCAATCAAAAATTTGGAGGCTTGGAGGACTTCCGGTTTGTCGGCTTCGCGAGCGGCAGGGATTTGCGAAGCTGCGCGATCCCTGCCGCGCTAGCCGTTTTTGGGGCTCCGACCCAGCCGGGTACGGAGCTAGGCTGCCCTGCAGGGGCAGCTGAAGGTAGGGGGATCCGGAGAAGGGTTTGGGGGTGCTGCAGACCCCCTCCCTGGCCGGCAGAACCCCCTTTTCCCAGGACGGTGCAGCGGCGGTCCGTAATGGCCGCCACAAAGAAGCTGGCAGCCGGGTAAGAATGCGCAGGAGGAAGTGGAGAAAGTGATTGAGAGGAGAAAGTTTTTCTTGGCTCCTAGGACTCTAAGACATATTTAATAAAATTCCTGAAAAGTATGACTTTCTGAATAATACCTGCCAGAAGAGGAAAAAAGCGGCTGCTGGAAGGTGCTGAAAGGATAGCTTTCCCTCTTTTCCTACGGAATAAATAACTGGATATTAAGAAACCTATTTTTTTAGGTGGAAATTGGATTTAAGCGATGAGTGGGAAGAGAGAGGATTAAAAAGAAAATATTTGTATGCTAAGATTTGTTGGAGCAGATGCCTTAAGGATTTGAAGACTAGAATATATTGTAACAAGACTTTAAACAGATTTGGACTTTCTTTCTCTTTGATTGATATCACCCCAGAAGGAGAAAGTGAGAACTCTGCCTTGGTTTGGACTGATTGATAACTTTGGGACTGTTTTATCTTTTTTATTTTCTTTTGAATATTCTGGTTGTTGTAAGAAGAAAGAAGGAGAAAAGAAAAGAAAAGATTTATAATGGCTCTTTCTGTTGAGGAACTGAGAAATGGTGTGGAAGAAGCTTTTCTTTTCTTAGAAATGGCGCTTACTAATTATCAACAAAAATTACAACAGATGAAGACAGCAGAGGAACAAGAAAGAAAGGAAGGAGCCATCTTTAATGAATCTCAGAATTTGATCCAGAAAAAAGGAAGAGAGAAAGAAAAGAAAAGAAGAGAAAAGAAGAAAACTAAAGGATTTAAGGACTTAAGATCTAAAAAAACATTTAAGAAAGGGAAAAATAAAGTGCAAAACCAATATGATGATTGTAAACAAAGGGGAAAAGAAATACGACAGAGAAGGGAAGCCGGTAAGGCAGAGGCTAGAAGAAGGGGGGGTAGAAAGGTTTGTTGGGAAAAGAAAGAAAGGGAAAAGGTGGAGAAAAGCTACAACGTTTTGAAATTAAATGGAAAAAAGGAATTTTTTATGGATAATGGATAAAGTATAATTTTTTTTTTAAAAAAAAAGATTTTGCAAGGTACATAAGATGAGATGGTAGTATTGCAATGGTTTAAGAGTTGATAAGAGATTAAAATGTTAAAATGTTTAAAAATGATTGGTATTAAAACTTAATAATAGGAGAGGTTTAGAATATTGTTTTAATTAAAGAGTTTAATAAAATTATGGTATTGATGTTATTATAAAATTTTTATTATAGTATTTCTTTTTAATATTTGGATTTATTCTCTAATTATGCATTTAATTGTGTTGGATGTATTAGTTAGATAGAATGTACCAAGCAAAATCTGATTGGGTATTAGATATTATTTTAAAGATTAATTTGATTAACTTAGGGGGGAGATAGAAAGGCATCATACTCTGATTAATGATTTCAGGAGAAACTGATTTTCTTTTTTTTCATAAGGGATGAGACAAAGGGATGATAAAAAATGGACAAAAGATACAAATATAATGATTTAAACTAAGATGATTAATTAAGGTAGAATTAAGAAGTGTGAAATATGTGGAGAAGTTAATATAGAAGGCTTAGAATGGTAAATAAAATAAGTAATGATATGTAAGATGAGCATGAATATAATTGAAGTCCATGAAGAGAGAGACACCTGGGTCCAAGTTACTTTCCAAAAAGATATTTTTTTTATGTTTTGTGTGTTGTGTGTATATGTCTTTTTTGGGGGGAGAATTGGTAAAAACTTGTAGAAATATAGAATGAGAATAATGGTAACTAAGTCAGAAAGAAACAGATGAAATAATAATAATGATATTGAATAAGAGTAAAGAGAAGTAAAGAGAAATTGAATAAGAGGTTTTGGTATATTATATGGAAATGGTTTAAAACAGAATTATAATTTATCTGACTTGTTAAATTTATAAGGGAAAAAGGTTTAAACATGTAATGAATAATGATAATTTGTGTGTTTTAAAAATTAATAAAACTTGTTTAAAAAAAAAAAAAAAATTTGGAGGCTTGGCAACTGGCATTTATTTATGACAGTTGCAATGTCCCGTGATTCATGTGATCATTTTTATGACCTTCTGATGAGCAAAGCCAATTTCACTTAACAACCTTGTTACTAATGTAACAACTGCAATGATTCACTTAGCAATTGTGGCAAGAAAGGTCGTAAAATGGGACAAAACTCACCTAGCAACTGTCTTGCTTAGCAATAAAAATTACGGGCGCAACTGTGGTCAATGACTACCTGTAGTTGAATTTGAAAGTACTCTGAAGAGAAATGCTAATGATCACCTAGAACATTCTATATGCCTTAGAACTGGTGTAGCTTGGAGATTGTCCAGTTTGGTTGAAATCTGCCTCTCCGATGTGTGCAGAAAGACAATCCCTTTTGTGTCCTCTTTGGTCAGATGTGCTAATAAATGGGGGTCCTCAGCAGGGATTGTTCTTTCTGCACACATCGGAGAGGCAGATTTCAACCAAACTGAACAATCTCCAGGCTACCCCGCTTCTAAGGCATATGGAATGCTCTAGATGATCATTAGCATCCTAAACTGTACTCAGTATCCAGTAACTGGCATTCTGTGTAGTTCCTGTAGCGATGATGACACACAGCAGCAATGTGTGTGATACATAAGCATATATAAGTTCTTTTAAGGGCAGCTTCAATGTACAAGTGATTGTCCTCACTGCCCCCACTCTGAGAAAGGCCACTCCTAGTGCTGTACTAGCTGTACAGGTCTTTCACTTGCTCCCAAAGCAGGAGCCGTGAGATCAGGAGAACCCCAAACCTAAGAACGTGCTCCTCAAGGAAGAGCATAACCATATCCAAAGGCAAAGTTGATATAAACCTGAAACTGGCAGATTTCTGAATTAAGAGCTCTTCCATCTTGGGTTGAATCTACATCTCTTCACCAGGATTTAACAACCTCCAGGATTTCTCCCATTTGGTTTAGGGCAGAGATGTATAACTAGGCCTCATCTTCATATTGATGTCACTTTATCCAAATCAAAGGTTAACTTTATCTAATGGTTTTCCTATAAGGAAAAGATGAAATATTTGGGAGGGGGGTTGTCTTTTAATATATTAAAACATCAATGAAAGATTAAAGAAATGTCCATGATGTGGATAAAGAGGGTGCTAGAAACTCAGATTCACTCAGTGAAATTTACTGTTTGCCATTCTATGTATGGTCCAGAAATCAGGTGAAAACAAAATAGAATCACCAGCACTCATATTCTGGTTATCAGTCAGGCTGCAAAGAAAAAGCATTATCACAAGAAGCTAGAAAAGACAGCTCCCTTTAGGCTTTCCCCCAAACGTTGCAAGTACCATTGCATCGTATTTCCACATGTATAGTTGAAATTTGATGTTTGTTCCGAGCAAGGTCATAAATCAAGCTTTGCCAATCTGGGCTCCAGAATTGGATTCCCAGAATTCCTCAGTCAACACTTCCAACCATTGAGAATTCTAAGAGTTTAGTCTTAAACATCTGCTTTACCTTAAATATTTCATGGGCTGTATAAAGAAACATTTACCTTTGTGCAGATTGTTTTCATATTGTGTAGTCTATCAAGTGACTCCTGAGGACTTCCAAGATACTGTTGAAGTTCTGCATGCAAAATTCTCATGGAAAATGGAACCATGGACCCTACAATAATAAAATATGTGGTTACTATTTCCCAGCCATCACAATTTCTTTTTTTTAAAATAAAGTTTTATTGAGTTTTAACAAAACAAATAAAACATCTTATTTGAGTACAGCATCATTCCGGGTTATCACATTTCCATACAGACATAATTTCATATGCCTGTTCATCTTATGTATTCAACTTCATATCTTATTACTCTTTTTCCAACTTCTCACTATTTCTCCCTTTACTTTTCTTAATTTTCTTTTATGGTTATCTCATTTCTTCTTATTCAATTGTATTTCTTTTACCTAAATTTCTCTATCTTTTTATTCATTGTACTTATGCTTTTGTCTGTCTTGTTTACAATTTCATATGTTCTCTTCCAACATTCTTAAGAAGCAAAATCCCCCCTATGATTGCCAATCGAAGTGCAACATCTTTAAATCTTATTGTTATTATCATATGAAATCTCATTAAACATTGAATATGTGCATTCTAAAATTATAACATTCAAATTTCTAATATCTATTTTATATCATGTAGATCTCATCATTCAGACTTTGCTTGGTACTTCCCCTTGAAAATGTAAAAAGAAAAATTCTAAAAACACAGCAAAAACAATATATATATATATATATATAAAAACATTAGTAAACAAAATAGTTATTCAAAATCATTCTAGTACTGGTATGAACCCTGTAAATCTTTCACGTTTCTTTTCAATATCTATCAATCTTTGAGAACAATTGAAATGTTTCCCTCCCTTCTTCATTATTACTTAACTGTTAATAAGCATACCATTGGATAGTCATAGTTTTATCTAAAACATTATTTATTATTAATAAGCAAGATAATTATTCAAATTCATTCTAATGACTGATATAAATTCCTTTATAAATTTTTCACATTTCTTTTCAATATTTTATCAATCTTTAGAAACAATTGCAATGTTTCCCTCTCTTCTTTATTATTGCATTAATTATAAATAAACATACCATTACATAACAATACAGTTTTACCTCATAGATTTACTTATTTCATTTCTAACTCATCACAGTATTCTACTGTCACAACCCTATCTTTTGTACCTCTGCAGAATCCTCACTTTTAACTAAATTTAACTATTGTCTCTGTGTTTTCTAGCTGAGCAAATACCTTTAATCTTAGTACGTTTCCCCTTTTTCTTTATTTCCTGTTTTTGTCCCTCATAAATTCTTTCCCTTTCTATCTTTCCCCCCTTTTTCTCATCCCTTTTTTATACCCTTCTCTCTCTAATTTTCCCTTCTGTAGTTTTCTTTTCTGCTTCTCCTTGCTATTATACTTCTTTTTCAGACTATTTTTCTTTTTGGCTGTTCCCTTTGATCTCAAACTTTTAACTCCTTTCCCCCTTTTTCCCCTTATTACCACACTTTGCATTATTTGATCATTGAAAATGGCTTCTTCTTTGTCCCGCCCTTCTTCTTGCTCTTGAAGCTTTTCCTTTTGCTTTTCATAGTTCAGGATCTCCATTTCAAAAAATTCAAATATGAAGCCAAAGGATCTTCCTCTCCTTTCTGTATCTTCTTGCTGTTTTTTAAAACTCATCTTCAATTCCTCCAGGAGTGATGGCATTTTAAATACTTTTGAACAACCACCCGATTGACTTTAAGTAAAACCAGAAAAAGAAAGAAAAAACCAATACCAAAAACTTCTTTTTTATCACCAAATGATCATCACCAAATGATCCCAGACTGTCCCTTCTTGTTTCTTTCCTTTCCTTTCCCTTTCCATTGGTTACTGTATCTTTTAATAAGATTTCGGTTACAATGTATCCTCAGGAGTCTTTTCAAAGTTTCACTGTTAATCCTCTTTATTATTCCAGGTGGCACTCCATTTTTCCATTATTCCAAGTCCCACCCTTTTGCCTCCACTCTTCTCCTTTTTAGGGCTTTAAAATGACCAAGAAAAAATCTTTATTCTCCTTTTGACACTTAGATTTCAGCTTAAGGTTGCCTATTAGTGTCAAAATAGATTAATATAAATTTCTTTCCATACCATTTGTAATTGTCAATATAAAGATAAAAAAAGGGGTTTTAACCTCCTTTTCTCTCTCCTTTGCCGCTTAAAGATCTTCTTTCAGAAGTATCCCTCTAGGTACTTTTAGATTCAGGGGACCTTGCTTAGATGTTCTCTGTTGTTTAGCCTGGTCTGTCCTGCTTTCCTCTTTGTCTTTCTCCTGCACAATCTTATCCAGTCGGGTTCTTCTTTAAGGTGGCCATTTATGACCACCACTGCAACCACCTTCTGGGAAGGGAGTTTAGACCAGCCAAGGAGGAGAGATACAGCTCCCCTCCACTCGGCTAGGAATCTCCCCCCTCTTCACCACCTCTACGGGGTGGCTTCAGCCCCGATTCCAAAGGATCGGGACGCTAAAGCGGCGAGCACAGATCGAAACTGCGCACGATCGCAGATTTCGGTCTGTTGCTGAAGAGACCCAAACCGGAAGTCCCACAACGAGATTCAAGATGCTCATCACAATTTCTTTATAATGGCAATTAGAGAGAATCTCTGTTTTAATCAGCATGAATTAGGGTAGAATTATTGCATTGAGATTATTCATCATGTCTTTTTTGTGGCTGAATGCTAGACTAGGGAAAGGCAGTGAATATAGCCTGATTTCAGCAAAGCTCTTGATAAGGTTCCACATGTCATTCTTCCTGACAAGCTATCATAGCGTGATTTGAATGACATTACAGTAAGGTGGTTCACAACTGCTACCTAACTGCACACAGAGAGTCAGAATTAATGATACACTATGTTGAGTTGGAAAGTTGTAACTAGTAAGGTTCTGTAAGGATCAATTCTGAGGCTCAGAAGATCGTAATGAGTTGCTCCTTATTAGCTTTCTGGGTGACATAAAATTGGGAGGTCTGGCCAACATTCCAGCACGGCAGTCTAATCTAATGGGATGGAAGACTGGACTGAGAGGGATAAAATGTCCTTTAACAGGGAGAAATGAAAACTACCACACTTCAGAAAAATACAGGACACATATACAAGACGGGGGACTCATGGCATGGTCAGTGACAAGTAGAACACGAGTCAGAACTGTAAGACAGTTGCTATAAGGGCTGTTGTTACCTGGTGCTGAATTAGCAGGCAGAGGTTGTATCAAAGTCACAAAATGCCATTATTCCTCTCTATTCAGTACTGATGAAACCACACATTGTACATACAAGTCTGACAGGTAGAAAGGGTTCAGAAAAGTGCAAACAATGGTAGTATAGGGGCTTTTGAAGACATGCCTTATGAAGGTGTACCAAACACATGATATTCATGTTCCATTCTGATTTCATGAATGCAAAGCAAAATATACAGTAGTTCTAAATTTCACATATACATGGAATTTGGACTTCCAGTTCTTGTAATCTATATCAGTGTTCCTCAATCTTTATGGCTTGGTGGCCCAGCCCAGGGGCAGGGAAGAGGGGAAGTGGACTGTGCAAGTGGCGGGATGGCATGCACACATGCAACTCAATTTGCACAAGTTGAGCTCTGCTCATGCGCCAGCCCATCACTCATGCAAGTTGAGCTGTGCGTGCATGTGCGCTGGCCCACCACTTGTGTGGCCCAGTTCTGAATGGGCCACAGCCCGGTAGTGGGCTGCACCTAGGGATTGGAAACACAAATCTATATTATCTTCCAGAACTATTAAACTCTTGAAATGTATAAGATTCATTACCAATAAGGTTCATAATTCTTTAGAAACAAAGATAATTACAGCAATTATGATTTTTTTTCACATCCCTTTCCATTATTTATGTTATTTTTTCTTGCAGAAAGCTTTTGTAACCAAAATATAAACCCCGAGGCTTAAAATCAAGCAAAAAAATTCCTTCATCCAGCTAAAGATCAAGGTTTTAATATCACACATGTAATAAGCTACCCATTATTAACTTTGTATTTAGTGAGACTATGGCCTTAGAATATTTATAACAGAGCTTAACTGGATTTACTTACAAGTATGTATATTTTGGAATATTCTAAATGCCACAGCTATTTTAAAGTGTACTGGAGCTTTGATATTTAGGCTAAATCTAATCACCTACTGACCTCTAATCAATGCTGACTGCTTTCCAATTCAATGTTATTCTGGCAAGAATAGTTAAAGGAGAGGACTGTTTTTGGCTCCACTCTTCCTCAAAGTATAACTGAAATCCCTTCAGAATGATAAAATGCAGGTCACCTTCAGAGGCTCTCCTCTGGATACCCCTGCCAAGTGGTTAGGCAGGTGGACTACAAGGTAGAGACTCTTCTCACTTATTGAAAAGTCTTTAAAAAAAAAAGAGGTCCAGTTGTTTGATACCTGTCATGCTGTTCTCCAGAGGCTTTCTCCTCTTTCAACAATTATTTCCCCTAGGAAGGCATGACACTGGCTTACTCTGAAAGCATAGAAGGTAGATGAAGGCATTGTTTTACTCCTAGGTATTTTCACTTTGAACATTTTAGCTGCATGATTTTTAACTATCTATCTATTGCCATGATGGCTTCTGTCTTTGCTCCTCTATCTTTTATTAAAAGTTTGTGTGCGTGTGTGCCTATGCTGCAATGCTACTTTCTACGTGCAGATTGCTGCTTGGTGGCAATATGCAGGTGAGGTATCTCCACAGTCGTCCCTATTCTGAGGAATAATCACTCTTCTGTGACACATCAGGTCCCAGTATCAGTTGATTAGATATCCTTGTTAAGCCTGGATTCCCCAACGGGTGTTAAGGAAAACAAACTAAACAGAACGTGCAGCGAAGTCAGATAGGAAGACAGGTAAATGTGTGAGATAAGTTTTCTAGTTAACACGCAATAAAAATACAGATACGCTTGTGCTATCAAAAATATAGTTTATTCCATTTAAGAATTATAGCAAAGTCAAATAACGGTCCATTAGTCATATATCAATTTTAGTCAAGTCTTGTCAGGGATACTCTATTTGCAAAGTCCGTGTTGAATAGCCAATGTCAGTACACTTACTATAAATCAGTCC